TGATTAAGTATATTCAGTGGGAGCATTTGCCAAAACTTTCAAACTTGATGTGAAAGTTTGTATCAAAGTTCTTTTTTTTTAAAGCCTAATCTGATAGACAAAGGTAACATATCTTCCTGATTTTTTATTTATTTTATTTTTTGAGATAGGGTCTTGCTCTGTTGCCCAGGCTGGAGTGCAGTGGCACGATCACAGCTCACTGAAGCCTTGACTTCCCAGGCTTAAGTGATTCTCCCACCTTAGCATTCTGAGTAGATGGGACTAGTCATACACCACTATGCCTGGTTACTTTTTAAAATTTTTTTATAGAGATGGGGTGTTTCCTAGGCTGGTCTCCAACTCCTGAGCTCAAGCGGTCCTCCTGCCTTGGCCTCCCATGGTTCTGGGATTATTGATGTGAGCTACCACAACTGGCCTGTATCGAAGTTCTTAAGGACCAACCTCCTAATAGTGTAGGATATCTTCTAAATGCTCTCTGGTACACAATAAAACATTTGAATGATCAGACTAACTCCAAGCAAATTAAATCCATGCTGCAGTAACAGTTCAGGAATAAGCACCTGTTGTAGACAGAAGACAGTATTCTGCACTGACTGAGAATACAATTTTTTAGTGATTGCAATTACCATGTCATTTTTCTTGCTTTTATGTATTCCTCTGTTCCTCTTCCCTCCTTTAAGATCATGTTCATGTTCTTAAGACTTCGTCTCTATGCCCAAATTAGTAAAATTATACTCTAAAGAGATACTGTCCTTTCAAACAGGTCACCTACAGCAGCTAATTATTGGGGTCTCTACTGAGAAAAATTCTGTGACTTTTAACTAAATATTTTCAAATGTGAATTTTGGGGAAACTAATATTTATTTGCTTCTCCTACATGGCAAAACTGCCAGTTCTGCTATTTGAAAACCCCCAATGACTTTATTTTCTACCATCACTTTTTTCATGTGCTGCGAAAATGAAAATGTTTAAATTAAGTGTGTTGTACAAATGGTAGCCAACACAAACTGTTTTTTTTTTAAATTTGTAAGAGTTTAAAGTTTTAATTTTACATTTTGACCTTTTTTGTAAGGGTGTATGTTATGTGTTTAACCTTTGTTAACATTAAAAACTGTGATGTGTGCGTAGAATATTACTTTCTAGGGCTAAATCTCTGATTTCCTGAATCTTACGTCTTTTTCTTTCTTGATTTACTCCCTCATCTTGCTAAAATACACCTTGGAGTAGCTTCCTTAAGAAAGGGTGTATGAGAGGTAAAATGTTTTAATTATCTGAAAAGTTTATTTTATTTTTAATTATTTTTATTTATTTTATTATTTTTTAAGGACCAGTATGATAGTATGAAAAGCTTATCTTTTAAAGTCATGCATGATTTATAGTTTGATTGGTTATAGAATTCTCGGTTCAGAATTCAGAATTTTGTATTCACTGTTCTATATTCCTTTGGCATCCAGTATTGCTATTCAAGTATGATGCCATTGATGATCTTCATCTGACATATGCAATTATTTTTACTTTTCTTTCTTTCTTTTTTCTTTTCTTTTCTTTTCTTTTTTTTTTTTTTTTTGAGACAGTTTCACCCTGCCTCCCTGGCTGGAGTGCAGTGGCATGATCTTGGCTCACTGCTGCAACCTCCGCCTCCTGGGCTTAAGCACTTCTTGTGCCTCAGCCTCCCGAGTAGCTGGGATTACAGGCATGTGCCACATACCTGGCTAATTTTTGTACTTTTAGTAGAGACAGGGTTTCGCCATGTTGGCTAGGCTGGTCTCGAACTCTTGGCCTCAAGTGATCTGTCTGCCTTGGCTTCCTGAAGTGCTGTGATTACAAGAGTGAGCCACTATGCCTGGCCATTTTGCTTTTTTTTTCTTCTTTCTGTCTTTCTGAATGGTTTTAGGGTCCTGTCTTTATCTCTTGTGCTCCAAAATTTTACAGTGATGTGCCTTGAATTATGTGCCTTCATTCATTTTTCTGGGCACTCAGTTGATGCTTTTATTCTGTAAACTCATATTTCTTTCATCCTGAGAACTTTTATTGTTTTATTTCTTAGATAATTTTGTCCCCTTCCATTTTATCTTTCTGTTCTAGAATCCCTCTGATAGACATTGGATTTTTTGAAATAATGCTGTAATTTCTAAGAATCTTTTCTCATTAGTTAAGATAAGGCTTAAATGCATATGATAGAAAACCGCAAATAATATACAGGTTTAAAGTGCAGGGGTGTGTGGTAACGGCAGCTATAGAGTTAACAGGGACTAAGACACCACCTTCTCTTTTTTTTACTCTGTTACTCTTTTTTTTTTTTTTTTTGAGATGGAGTCTTATTCTGTCACCCAGGCTGAAGTACAGTGGCATGATCTCAGCTCACTGCAACCTCTGCCTCCCAGGTTCAAGCAATTCTTCCTGCTTCAGCCTCCCAAGTAGCTGGGATTACAGGCACCCACCACCATACCCCACTAATTTCTGTATTTTTAGTAGAGATGGGTTTTCACCATGTTGGCCAGGCTGGTCTTGAACTCCTGACCTCAAGTGATCCGCCTGCCTTGGCCTCCCAAAGTGCTGGGATTATAGGTGTGAGCCACCACACCCAGTCTACTCTGTTATTCTTTGTACATAGATGGCATCTGTCCTCAAGTTTGCCTAATGGCCCTGAATAGCTGCTGGAGTTTCAGCCCTCATGTCCACATTCTGGATAGCAAGAAGGAAGAAAGGATGAAGGTAAAAGGGAGTACTCTATTTCCTATCTCCTTCTCCTCCTTCTCCTCATCCTCCTCCTTCTCTACCTCCTCCTCCTTCTCTACCTCCTCCTCTTTCTTCTTCTTTCTTCTTCCTTCTTCCTCCTTTTCTTTTCTTCTTCCTCTCTTCTCCTTCTCTTCCTCCTTCTCCTCCTCCTCCTCCTTCTTCTTCTTCCTCTTCCTTTTCCTCTTTTTGAGACAGGGTCTCACTCTGTCTCCCAGGCTGGAGTGCAGTGGCACGATGTTGGCTCACTGCAGCCTTGACCTCCTGGGCTTAAGTGATCCTCCCACTTCATCCTGCCTGGTAGCTGGGACTACAGGCATGTGCTGCCATACCTGTCTAATTTTTTTGGTCTTTTTTGTACAGATGGGTTCTGGTACATTGCCCAGGCTGTTCTCCTTTTAAGGAATTTTCCAAGAAGTCCCACTTAACAGTTTTCCCTGAATCTCATTGATCATAATTTTGTTACATCTGGCTGATAAGAAAGCTGGATGTATAGTCTTTTAGCTGAGCATATTTCTACCCTGAATAAAATCTGGGTCCTGCTGCTAATGAAGCACAGAAGAAATAATCTTTGGTAGGCAACTAATTGTTTCTGCCATTTTCTTTTTGTTCTACTGAGTTTCAACTTTGTATTCTAAGTCTTCTGTTGATTTTTTAAATTTTAGCTATGAAAATTTTAATTCCTAAGACTTTTACTTGAAATGTTGTTGTTTTCATTAAAATCTAATTCTTGGATAATGGGTGGAATACTTTTTATGTCTCCAAGTAGGCTTGGAGTAGCAGAGACCTAGTTTTTAATGCTAACTCTGCCATTTACTGGCTATATAACCTTGAGCTTAAGCTTTCAATATTGAAAAATGAGAATTAACTTTGTGTTAATCAACTCTATATTTTTTCATATTATAAAAAGTCTTTGTGAATATTAGAATAAACTTGGAGAAAACAGCAAAATAAAACTTGTAAGGAATTATCCAAAACAATCACTTTTAACAGTTTGCTGTTTGCTTTAGTTTTTCATGTTGATCATATTGACCAATATATCTCCTAACCAGATTATAGGCTTGTAAAATTAACCCATAAAATAGGAGATTAGTTAAGAGTGCTGGGCACATAGTAGACCCTGAGATATAAATATATTGGAGGATTAAGAACTTTTACTTTGAATTGGTTTCTACTTATATAATAACAGAATATGCCAGGCACGGTGGCTCGTGCCTGTAGCCCCAGCTACTCTCGAGGCTGAGCTGGGAGTTTCCCTTGAGCCCCAGAGTTCAAGGCTTTCATGAGCTATGATCGTGCCACTGCACCTTGGGCAACAGACACCCTGTCTAAATAACAGAATATACTAATATATCTATATATTCAGGCTATTGTGCTCAACGGCATCTGTTTTTATGATGGCTAACTCAGGCGGAGCTCATAGAACGTATGCTAATATGAACAGATTTTTACTTTTTGTTGTAAATACTAGTGACCTACTTTAAAAATTTGTTAGAATACATATCTGTATTTTCATATATGTATGCAAAAGCAAAGTCTGGACAAGAAACTAGCAATAGTGATTTGAGTCTGGAGGGAGGATTAGGAAGAGACATAGTGGATGGAGCGGAAGGACGCTCGCTACACTGTGTATGTAAAAAGCATTTTTGGTTTTTGAACCATATGACTATTCAAACATTAAATGAACTTTATATATATTTGGTGTATTTTTTCTTATTATACAATTATTTTTAATTGCATACTTTAAAGACATGAAATATTTGAAGAGACATACAGAAAATCATTAATAAGATATAAAAGTTACCTATTATCTCATACCCCAGAGGTAACTACTGTTAACATTTGACACATTTCTTCCAGTCATTTATACATTATAAAGTTGTACTTACATGTATTTGTGAAATTGGAATATACTATGTAATGTTACATATTCTGCTTTCCCCCACCTACATATTGATTATATTATTTGAATCACATCTCATGCAACTGAGAATATGATTTAACTATATTCTCCATGATTATTCTCTATGATTGAATATTTAGAGGTTGTTTCCATTTTTTGGCTATCATAAGTAACTTTGAGATAAAGTGCATGGCACTTAAACCTTTATGCACTTCTCTGGTCATCTCTTTGGGATAAAATTTCCAGGAGAGAAAAAACTGGGTCAGAAGCTGTGACCATTTGACAGGTTCTTGTTAGCTGTTGATACGTTGAAAGATATTTTTCTTTGTGATAAGTTAATACATACAGTTTTTCCCCCAAGGAACATATGCAGGATAAACATATTATCAAAGCTGTAGAACAGCAGCAGCAAGAGGAAGAAGATGAAAAGATTAGAAAATTTATCAAAGCAAAAAAGTGTCTTATACAAATGGGGAAAGAAAAAGAAGCTGAAACACACAGGTAGGCTTTAATAATGTGTATAATAAAGTACTATCTGAAATTATTATGATTTTATGACTATTATGACAGTAGTCTTTAGGAACAGAGGTCTTATTTTATATATGACTAGAGCATTCAGTGATTCGATTTCAGTTTGGGATGTGGGTATGAGGACATCATCTTGTAGATGGTCAGAAATGCTGATCTGCTGTTCCAGAGGAGTATGAGCTGAAGATGGCTTTGTGAGCCATTGGTATATAAGTGGCAGTTGGAGTTGTGGATACAGATGAGCTCACCTAGGGTGGGTAGGTAAGAAATGAAGGTGGCAGAGTCCCTAGGGAACTCCATTTAAAAGTCAAATGGAAAAAGAAGATAATGTGAAGACCAACGAATAGTTTCCAGAGATTGGAGAAAAACCAGGGAAACATCAGGGAGAAGAGTCTCAGTAAGAAGGGAGCGGTCATCAGTGTTAGGTCAGTAATGGGATTAAGTATAATTTTTAAAATGAAGTATTCATCCAATTTAGAGGACATTGCTTATGTTAGTGATCAGTTTGGTATGGGATGTAGAGATAAGAGTAGGAGGCCAGATTGCAGTATAGGGGGTTTCTGTCTAAATCATGCTTTCCCCTTGTGCAGAATCCTCTGATGGCTTCACAACTCACTTAGTCTTTACAATGGCCCATAAGGCTCTCCACCTACCCAAATTTCCATCTTCCCAGCTCATCCCTCCCAGCCTTATCCCTCAGACCTCTTCTCTCACTATTCTCTCCTCTCCTTCTTCTCACCTGTACTGGACTTGCCTCTGCCTGCTCTAGGGAATGCTCACCTCCAGAGAGCACGTAACTTGCTTTCTTAACTCTGTCAGATCTGTACTTAAATATTACCTTGTCACTGAGGCTTTCTCTGACTACCTTATTTAAAATTATACCACCTCCCCAATTGCTTGTCAGTTTACTTGCTTTTCCCACCCTCATTGCTTGATATATAGCACTATATACATTTTTTTTTTTTTTTTTTTTTTTGAGACGGAGTCTCGCTCTGTCACCCAGGCTGGAGTGCAGTGGCCGGATCTCAGCTCACTGCAAGCTCTGCCTCCCGGGTTTACGCCATTCTCCTGCCTCAGCCTCCCGAGTAGCTGGGACTACAGGCGCCTGCCACCTCGCCCGGCTAATTTTTTGTATTTTTTAGTAGAGACGGGGTTTCACCGTGTTAGCCAGGATGGTCTCGATCTCCTGACCTCGTGATCCGCCCGTCTCGGCCTCCCAAAGTGCTGGGATTACAGGCTTGAGCCACCGCGCCCGGCTCACTATATACATTTTTAAAATTATTTATTTTGTTTACTGTCCCTCTCCTCCAGCAATCATGAAAGCCCCATGAGGACACAGATTTTTATTTTTATTAAACCTTTTTTTTTTAGAGATGAGGTCTTGCTGTGTTGCCCAGGGTGGAGGACAATGACTATTCACAGGTGTGATCACAGTGCCCTGTAGCCTCAACCTCATAGCCTCAAGGGATCCTTCTATCTTAGCCTCTTGAGTAGCTGGGATTAAAGGTGCGCGCCACCATGCCCAACTTTTTTGTTCACTGTTAGGTCTGTCCCCAGCACCTGGAATGCTGTCAGGAGCATAGTAAGCAATCAATAAAACTGTTTAAAATACTGTTTTTTGGAATTCTACCTGAAATGTCACCTTTTCTCTGAAAGCTTTCTTTTTTTCTCCTTTGTCCATATCATTTTCTAGCTTTCTCATGGCATTTATTACCCTTTGTCTTGGATAGTTATAAAGACATTTGCATAAATGTTTTTTCTCCACTTTAAATTGTAATTTCCTTGGAGTATGCATTGTATCCTTCCTCATCATTTCTCACATGCTGCTTTGCCAATTCACTCAGTAAGTGAATTTGTCACAACAAAATTATTTTTTATACAATTTCATAAATTAAAATGCCCCAATTTATTTAACAAAATTTATTTATTCTTATAATCTACCAGGCACATGCTTTGCTCTTCACTAGAGAGAGGACCCATTCAATTTCTGACCTGAGGAATCTCATAGTGAATTTGAGAGGCCAAAGTAGGAGGATTGCTTGAGGCCAGGAGTTTGAGACCAGCCTGGCCAGCATAGCAAAATCCTGTCTCTTAAAAAAAAAAAAAAAAAGGAACCTTAAAGTGTAAAGGGAGAAATTTAAACAGATCAAGTCAAAAAAGTGCTGTGAATAAATTCCAGACAGAATATTGTGAGGGGATGGATATTTAGGATTTTGATAACTTTAATTATTAGATTATTTCTTTGATTTTATTTAAATAAAGGCCTTTTATAGCCTCAGCCTCCAATGATAGAGTAAGCAGGGTAGTCTGATAAAATATTGAAATATTTTCTGTGGCCAGGTGCAGTGGCTCACGCTTGTAATCCCAGCACTTTGGTAGGCTGAGGCAGGTGGATCACTTGAGGTCAAGAGTTCAAGACTAGCCTGGGCACATGGTGAAACCCCCTCTCTACTAAAAATACAAAAACTAGCTGGGTTGAGGCAGGAGAATCGCTTGACCCCAGGAGGCGGAGGTTGCAGTGAGCTGAGATTGTGCTACTGCACTCCAGCCTGGGTGACAGTGAGACTCTATCTCAAAAAAAATTTTTTTCTTTAATTTTTTTTTAATAGAGTCTCACTCTGTCACTCAGGCTGGAATACAGTGGTACACAGTTCACTGCCACCTTGAACCCCTGGGCTCAAGCAATCCTCCTGCCTCAGCCTCCTGAGTAGCTGGGACTACAGGTCCGTGCCACTGCCTTGGCTAAGACTTTTTTTTTTTTTTTTTTGAGACAGAGTCTCGCTCTGTCGCCCAGGCTGGAGTGCAGTGGTGTGATCTCAGCTCACTGCAACCTACACCTCCTGGGTTCAAGCAATTCTCCTGCCTCAGCCCCCGAGTAGCTGGGATTACAGGCGTGTGCCACCACGCCCAGCTAATTTTTATATTTTTAGTAGAGACAGGGTTTCACCATGTTGGTCAGGCTGGTCTCGAACTCCTGACCTCATGATCCACTCGCCTCGGCCTCCCAAAGTGCTGGGATTACAGGCATGAGCCACCGTGCCCAACTTAAAAAATTTGTCTGTAGAAATGGGGTCTTGCCATCTTGCCCAGGCTGGTCTCTTAACTCCTGGGCTCTAGCGATCCTCCCACCTCAGCCTCGCAAAGTGTTGGGATTATAGGCATGAGCTACCACACCTGGCCTAAAATATTTTTCAATGTAGATAATTTTAAGATCTTATTTCTTACACACATACACACACACACACACACACAGAGAGAGAGAGAAAGAGAGAGAGAGCGAGAGATGTATTATACATATTACTCTCTTTGGATTTTAGAATATATGTACTTTATAGTTAAAAAATAATTCCCACTTAAAATAATCAATGTATGTAAGGAGCAATGGGGCTCCTGTTAGTTTTGTAAGAGATGACAAGTTATCTCAGACTCCCTAATTAAGTTATGTTGGCTCCACTGGACATCTGTTCATGAAGATTTGACAAGTATGGTTATTTTGTTACAGGCTTATGGAGAAACGAAGAGAAAGAATACATAACTTCCTGAGTGAACTATTGAAAGAGAAACTTGACAATGAAGATATGATTATTGCTAGAGATATTGCAGAAGCTGAGGCTGAATGGGAAAAAAGAGAAAGAGAAAAAGATGAAAAAAACAAAGCAGAATTAAAAACAATTGCAGAATATAGAGCCATTGTGGTAAACAATTCAATTATGAAAATAAAAATAGAAAGACAAAGTTAGGACCTTTCTACTATGTTTCCCATCCCATCTGCCTCTCTAACCAAAAACTAGCCAAGATATTAAAAACAATATATTACTTATCTTCCTGTATTTTTGAAATTGGACAATGTTTACTTCCTAACAAAGATGACATGATCGGCCGGGCGCGGTGGCTCACGCCTGTAATCCCAGCACTTTGGGAGGCCGAGACGGGCGGATCACGAGGTCAGGAGATCGAGACCATCCTGGCTAACACGGTGAAACCCCGTCTCTACTAAAAAATACAAAAAACTAGCCGGGCGAGGTGGCGGGCGCCTATAGTCCCAGCTACTCGGGAGGCTGAGGCAGGAGAATGGCGTGAACCCGGGAGGCGGAGCTTGCAGTGAGCTGAGATCCGGCCACCGCACTCCAGCCTGGGTGACAGAGCGAGACTCCGTCTCAAAAAAAAAAAAAAAAAAAAAAAAAAAAAGATGACATGACAGTCAGTTACAAATGAGATATTTATAGATGCAAAGTAATAATCTCTCCTGTTTCAGAACCATCTGAAACACAAAGGTTATTTATGTGGTATACTTTTCATTTGTATGTTTTAAAGACAAACCATGTAAAAATTATACATTTGTTTAATATTTCAAAACTTATATCTTACATGACTGTCATAACATTTAATTTGGATAGCTGATAGTTTATACACATAGGAGCAATTTTTTTTTTTTTTGAGACGGAGTTTCACTCTTGTTGCCCAGGCTGGAGTGCAATGGCGCAATCTTGGCTCACCGTAACCTCCGCCTTCTGGGTTCAAGCAATTTTCCTGCCTCAGTCTCCAGAGTAGTAGGGATTACAGGCATGCACCACCATGCCTGGCTAATTTTGTATTTTTAGTAGAGACAGGGTTTCTCCATGTTGGTCAGGCTGGTCTCAAACTCCCGACCTCCCGAGGTGATCTGCCCACCTTGGCCTCCCAAAGTGCTGGGATTACAGGCGTGAGCCACCACGCATGGCTGGAGCAATTAATTTTTGACTTACGTATTTCCCTTCCTTGAGAAGATCTTTTTTCTTTTCCTGTATTTTCTTTTTCAAGCCAATAAAGATTGTCCTGTACCAATTGGGTGTTTTCTGATATTCAGGAAATAGAGCAAAACCAAAGTAAACTGGCCTCATGGGAACCACCCAGGTGCATGCACTTTTCTGCTCCTGTATTGCTCCTGGCTGACTCTCCTCTGCTTCAACTCTCTGACTCTATGCCTTTTCAGACAGGACTGGTTGCTATAACTGGTTTTAATTTGTTTCCTTTGCCTTAAACGTCTAGATGAAAAATAAAGAGGAAGAAGAAAGACAAAGAAAAATAGAGGCTAAAGAACAATTGCTGGCTGTCATGAAAGCAGATCAAATTTTCTGGGAACATGAAAAGGAGAAAAAATACAAAGCTGATAAAGAACACCGAGAGGTTCAAGACGCCCATATTCAGCAAATGGTAATTATTCCTGAATGTTTATACTTATATTAGCAATAAGTATATAATACAGAATTCATGCTAGTTTTCTATCTCCCAAGCAGTTTATTTTGTCAGATAAGAAAAAAATGATCATTATGGTTATGGCTCAATAAAATATATTAAAAATGTAGGGTTAGTTTCTGTTTTTATCTCCAGTGAAGTTCCCATGCGAGTTTTATCTTTTAGATGAATGTTTATCCTTCTTTAGTGTCTATTATACTTTAGTAAATATTAAAGAAAATACAAATGCATGTGGCAGGCCATAATGCTCATCTTCTTTGTTTTACTTTTTTCCCATATCTCAAAGACTATGTTGATTGGGATCTCATAGGTTTCAGATTTGAGGTGAATGGAGATATCAGATTTTAGAAGATATGTAGAGGACCTAGCATCCAATCATTTGCAACTAAAACCTGTTTTTGAAATGGCTGTACCATTTTCCATTCCTACCAGCAATGTATGCGAGCACAAGTTACTCCACATACTCATCAACACTTGATATTGTCATCCCCTAATTTTAACTATTCTAGTATAGTGATATCTTATGGCCTTATTTTACATTTCTCTAATGACCAAAGATAATGGACATCTTTTCACATCCTTGCTAGCCATCTGTATACCTTCTTTTGTGAAGTGTCTATTTAAGAGTGTTGCCAATTTTTAATTGGGTTTTCTTAGTGCTGAGTTTTTTAAAATTGATTTTTATTGTGGTAAAACATAACATTAAAAAGTACCATTTTAAGCATGATTAAGGGTACGGTTCAGAGGCATTGAGTACATTCACATTGACCACTCTACATCTCCAGAGTTTTCCATCATCCTGTACTAAAACTATACACGTTAAACAGTAACTCCCCATCCCCTCTTTTCTCCAGTCTGGGTAACCTCTGTTCTACTTTCTATCTCAATGAATTTGATTGTTCTAGGTATCTCATAAATGGAATCAGACAATATTTGTCCTTTTCTGTTTGACTTTTTTCACTTTTTTTTTTTTTTTTGAGACAGAGTTTTGCTCCACTGCCCAGGCTGGAGTGCAGTGGCGTGATCTCGGCTCACTGCAACCTCTGCCTCCAGCGTTCAAGCAATTCTCCTGTCTCAGTCTCTCAAGTATCTGGGATTACAGGTGCCCACCACTACGCCAGGCTAATTTTTGTATTTTTAGTAGAGACGGGGTTCCACCATGTTGGCCAGGCTGGTCTCAAACTCCTGACCTCAAGTGCCCGCCTTGGCCTCCCAAAGTGCTAGGACTCCAAGTGTGATCCACTGCACCTGGCCTCCATTTTTGAATTGGATTTTTTGCTGTTGGGTTTTAGAGGTTTTGAAAATATTCTGTATATTAATCTCTTATCAGATAACATGATCTGCAAATGTCTTCTCCCATCCCATGAGTTACCTTTTCACTCTGTTGATAATATCTTTGAGATATAAAAGTTTTTAATTTTTGGCCGGGTGCCAAAATAGTTTGTTTCAATCATGATCAAATAAGATCAGTATTTGGAATCCTTCTGATTTACTTGTTGAAGTCTTTAAGAAGTTTTCTTGATCAAATACTTGGTTCCTGTTAGGTACAATTTTTATAAATACTTGATTTTTTTTTTGCCTTATTTTCCAGTTTTCAGGATAGTTAATTAGCTATTATCTTCCAAATGTACTTGGAAAGTACTTTTACCTTCATCTATTAGCATTTTTAGGATTTTAAACTTAATTTTTTGGAACTTTTTCTTTATAAACTTATATTTTGCTTAATGCCTATCAAATGTGAGGTACCAATCATATGTTCCATCATAGTAATTCTTTCCTTCCATTGTCACTTCCTTTCTGTGCTTCAAATGGTTCTTTCTGTTCCCTCAATATTTTTCTACATTTACTAAATTAACTTATCCAAATTGCTGCTTATTAAGTTCCCAAATATTAGCATTTTACCTTTGATGAGAGATAGATTTTGGCCTTTTTTTGACCTTTTCTCCAATCTTATTGTCATTTTCTACTTTTTAAAACTCTGGTATTTTATCCCCAATTTCACAAATAGTATGTAAACTGAATTTTGAATTGCAGCACCCAATAATGAAAAATTTGATATTTCACATTAAATATGGTTGCTCTGTTCCATCAAAAATTTAAATTTATGGTAGATATCAGGTTTGGGCTACTGTTTTATGCCAACATTTTGGATTTTGAGAAATATTTTTATGAATATTAAATATATTCCTAAGTAGACAAAGTAACTGTAATTTTAAAAAATAAACTCAACATTTCTTAAAGTGCCACAGAGAATACAAATGAAAAGTTGCCAACCAGAGCATCACAGAAAAGCCATAAAAAGAATCCCATCCAATGTAAATTAATATAAACAATTAAAAGACAAAATTTGTATAAAATATTGGTAAACTGGCTTTTGGCAAATTGCCTACTTATTCCACTCAGTGCCTTCTCAACCTCCCTTGATAAATGTCACTCATTGTTCCAGTTTAAAATTTTTGGGAAATAATGTAAATGGTTTTAGTCCAGATATTCACTGCTGATTTAATCTTATGTGGCTGGGAACATGGTATATTGGGCTGACCCAGCACAGTAGAGTTGAGTGAATTCCTCCAAAATAGCGGATGGTTAGAGACAATGGTGGCTGTGCATTCTAAACCACTAAAGTTCGCATCTTGTAAGTGGTTGAAACAGGATTCTAAACTCTGTTACCTGAGTTTTATCTAAATTTCATGTTTCGCTATGTCACTGTGTTATTTGCAAATGTATCACATTAGGCTATTAATAAAGGTTTCATTGAGGCTGGGCGCGGTGGCTCACGCCTGTAATCCCAGCACTTTGGGAGGCCGAGGCGGGCGGATCACAAGGTCAGGAGATCGAGACCACGGTGAAACCCCGTCTCTACTAAAAATACAAAAAATTAGCCGGGCGCGGTTGTGGGCGCCTGTAGTCCCAGCTACTCGGGAGGCTGAGGCAGGAGAATGGCGTGAACCCGGGAGGCGGAGCTTGCAGTGAGCCGAGATCGCGCCACTGCACTCCAGCCTGGGCGACAGAACGAGACTCCGTCTCAAAAAAAAAAAAAAAAAAAAAAAAAAAAAAAAAAAAAAAAGGTTTCATTGAGCCACTACTTTGAGCATGATAGGAAAGTTTCTGAAATACATGATAGTATATAGTTGTTAAATCAGAACTTGTAAAATATCAATGAGTTTAGAAAATTATACCTACATTTTCTTTTCTTTTTTTTTTTTTTTTGAGACGGAGTCCCGCTCTGTCGCCCAGGCTGGAGTGCAGTGGCGCGATCTCGGCTCACTGCAAGCTCCGCCTCCTGGGTTTACGCCATTCTCCTGCCTCAGCCTCCCGAGTAGCTGGGACTACAGGCGCCCGCCACCTCGCCCGGCTAGTTTTTTGTACTTTTTAGTAGAGACGGGGTTTCACCGTGTTAGCCAGGATGGTCTCGATCTCCTGACCTCGTGATCTGCCCGTCTCGGCCTCCCAAAGTGCTGGGATTACAGGCTTGAGCCACCGCACCCGGCCATACCTACATTTTCAAATGCTACCTATGCATGATAGGAAAGTTTCTGAAATAAATGATAGTACATAGTTGTTAAATCAGAACTTCTAAAATATCAATGAGTTTAGAAAATTATACCTACATTTTCAAATGCTACCTATATTTAGAAAGTTCATGTTCTTAACCAATATTAAGTTATATTTCCTTTCTTTTCCAAATAGGCCAAAAATAAGTTTAATGCAAAGCAAGCAAAACAAGCAGAATTAGATTATTGCAGACTTACTGAAGCTCTTGTGGCTGAAAAGGAGAAAGAATTTCAGGACTATGCCAGAGAGGTAATTGAACTTGAATCGGAAACAACAAATAAATATATTTACCCTCTTGTAAAAGCTGTACAGGAAGGACCTGGAGGTGGCCGTGGACCAGTGCTTGTGGATAGAGGTGGATTAAGACCCAGCTATCAGGCAAATGATATTACTGGAGTCCAGCTCCCTTTTTATAACTCTCAGGGACCAAAATATAATTTTCAGAAGTCAAAGAGAAGGTTAGGTTTTACATGGTAGAAAAAAATTTTTAACATTGAGAAGACTAAGTTGTAGCATATATGAGCTTCAAATGTAAATGGATTTCTGTTAATAAAGCTGTTCTTCATCTAAGTACAATTATGTCTGATTTAATTGATCGTTCTCAGTATTTCTTTTGGGTATATATAAAACCCCAATTTTGAGATTCCTAACTGTGGTAAATTACACAAGTAAAATTTACTTTTTAAATGTACATTCAGTGGTATTAAGTACATTCAAAATATTGTATAGCCATGACCATTGTGTAGTTCCAGAATTTTTCAGTGCTCTGACTGGAAACCCCAGACCCATTCATTAAGCAGTGACTCCCCATTCCACTTCCCCACAGCCCCTGGTAACTGTTTATATGCTTTGCCTATACTGGGTATTTTGAATAAACAGAATCATACCGTGGCCTTTTGTGTCTGGCTTGTTTCACTTAGCATATTTTCAAGGTTCATCCATGTTGTGCCATTTATCAGTGCCTCATTTCAGTTTATGGCTGAATAATATTTCTCCTTGATATATTTCTTTTCTCCTCAGCAGAAATTCATATGCTTATTTGTTTTGTCCTGTGGTTAGTATCAGATAACATTAGCAGCATTACTACACTAACAATAGGATTATTGAATGAAGTTTAAGACTTCTTTGTGGTTTATTTTATGGAGTATATCTTATTAGACATGTACACATTATAATATTTTGAGGTCACTTAAAATAATTCTACATGTAGTTGTGCCAACTTGAGACAAGACGACAAAACTTGTCTTGCTTCCAAAGAGACAGAGCAGATTAGCAGTTACCAGGGGCTGTGGGGGAGGGGAATGGGGAGTGACTGCTTCATGAGTAGGGAGTTTCCAGGTGGAGCGCCAGAAACTTCTGGAACTAGATAATGGTCATGGCTATACAATACTGTGAATGTACTCAGTACTACTGAATTTTGTGTGATTTTTGTGAACTGCATTCTCTCATTTTTTTTTTCCATTTCTTATTGAGGTAAAAAACACAGAACACATAGTTTAATGTCTTAATCATTTCTAAGTATATAATTCAGTAGTGTTAAGTATATTCATATTGCTGAACAATCTGCCGAATTTTTCCATCTTGCACAATTGAAACTATGTATAAACAACTAGTCTCCATTTCCCCCTCCCCTCAGCTACTGGGAAACATCATTCTACTTTGTTTCTGTGAATTTCGACCACTACAGTATAAGTCCTTTTGTGACTATTTCATTTAGTGAACGGTCCTCAAGGTTCATCCATGTTATAGTTTGTCAGTTTTCTTCCTTTTTAAAGCTGAATACTCCATTGTATGTATATCACATTTTGTTTATTCATTCCTTCATGAATGGACACTTGGGTTGCTTCCACCTCTTGGCTATTGTGAATAATGCTCCTTTAATCGTGGATGTACAAATAACTCTAAGATCCTTTCCATTCTTTTGGACATATACCCAGAAGTAGAATTGTTGAATCATATAATTCTAAATTTTTAGAAACTCATACTTTCCTCCATAGCAGCTGAACCATTTTGCATTTCCAACAGTGCATGAAGTGCACATCCTCACTACCATGTTTTTTTTGACGGTAGACATCCTGAGTGACTTTGAGGTATTATTTCATTGTGATGGTGATTTTGATTTGCATTCCCTAAGGATTAGTAACATCGAATGTTTTTTCATATGCTTGCTGGCCATTTGTCTATCATCTTTGGAGAAATGTCTATTCAAGTCCTTTCCCCATTTTTTTCATGTTATTTGTTTTGTTGTTGAGTTGTAGTTATTGTGTATTCTAGATTGATCCCTTATCAGATAAATGATTTGCAAATACTTTTCCTTCCTTAGGTTGCCATTTCACTGTTGTGTCCTTTGCTTATTTCTCTTTAAAAGCAAATACACATGTATTTTACTCTAACACAAAATAACTTTGTTCTTTTCACTTAATATATCCTAGAGACACAACACAGCAGATTTAAATATCTTCATTTCTTATCCAACTGGCATAGTATTCTCTTGCAAGGGTGTACCTGTTTATTCAACCAGTGGTATACCAATAGATGTTTGTGTGGTTTCCAGTCTTCTGCTATTACAAATTCTGTAATTAACAGCTGCCTTTTTTTTTTTCCCCATATTTTTGTCGGTTAACCTTTGAGATAGATTCCTACAAATGGGAATGCTGGGTAAAGGTGTAAATTGTTCAGTGTATCATTCTCTAAGAGACCAAGTCTTGAGCAAACATTACTTATGTCATGAGCCTCTTGGAATCTGATAAAACTTGGTGGCTTTTTCAGCAGTAAGGTACACACACACATATACTCTACAATTCTGCATATAGTTTTAAGGACTTCCACAATGCCCTCTAATACACTGCACAGCACAGTGACTAACATACATCCAACATTGTGGCTCAGTATTATCTGGGTTATACTTTTTTAAAATGGCAGATTCTGTGGGCAACCATCATTCTGAGTTACTGTTTGTGGGTTTATGGACCTCAGGTTTTACGAACTGTTTTAAAGGAGTAAAATAGCTGGTTATTTTAACACTGTTATCTACTGATTCCCAAATTGTGTGCCAAGGCATACTGAGGAACCACCGTGAACTCACAAAGGCACAGCTGGTGGGACAGTTTAAACTTTTGAAACAAACTACCTGACATCTGTAAGACTAGCTAGAGGTAGTTCAACATACTAAAACTCTGCCTTTTGATGACATCCTGTCTGTAAAGCTGGATTTTCAGCAGTTGATGGGATAAAACATGTATTGCACAAAATCAATGTATTATAGGAGATGGTGTATGTGATCTGATCTGAGGTTTGAGAAGTTGTGCTGTGACCAACAGTTGCAGACATCCCATTAGTAACTCATTGTGGTTAAGAATGGAACTGTAAACATATTTTTTAAAATTTCAAATGGCTAAGTTGTTGGATATACTTTAGCTATGTGAACTTTCTATTTATTTTTTATTAGAGATTGGGTCTCACCTGTGGCCCAGGCTGGAGTGCAGTGGCATGATCACAACTCACTGCAGCCTCAAGCTCTTGGACTCAAGCAATCCTCTTGCCTCAGCCTCCCAAAGTTTTGGGATTATAGGTGTGCTCCTGGCCTTTTAAACTATTTAATAAACAGATGTTAGGTATTTCTTCTGGCCCAGGGATAACACCATGTTAAAATTACTGAGACACACAGGTAAAGTGAACCAAGAAAGTCTGGGAACTTCTGCTATATATCCTTTCCTTTAAATTACATAAATACAATATATAGTGGTAATTAGTAATTTTAGACAGCTATCTTCTCCCATATTATAAAACAGGAAATAAGTTTCTACGAAATGGTTAATTACATAAATTTGTTATACAACCAACTTAGCTTGAGTGCAGGATAACATAAAACACCAGACATTACTAGTTTTTCTGCCTTACATATACAATTTATTTTACTTTAAATTGGGCTGGGCTTTCTACTAAAGGACATTGAGAAGAAAGGTAAGGCTACACAATGTTTTTAAATAATCACAAAATAATTCAGTGAAAAGAACTGAATGGCACAGCAGTGGAAACTCAACTGCTCTAATCTGCTAATTTGATAAGAGAAACTCGTAGATAAAATCTGTGGCAAAGACATAACTTGGAACAAGGCATTCTGAGTCCTGAGAGGACTTTGATGGGAGCAGGGAAATACAAAAATTATGAAAACAAGAAGTTATCAGGTAAGGAAATATGTTTAGGAAAGAAACCTAGAAAGTAAACAGAAAAAGCAGGCCGGGCATGGTGGCTCACGCCTGTAATCCCAGCACTTTGGGAGGCCGAGGTGGGCAGATCACGAGGTCAGGAGATCGAGCCCATCCTGGCTAACACGGTGAAACCCTGTCTCCACTAAAAATACAAAAAAAAAATTAGCCAGGCGTGGTGGTGGGCGCCTGTAGTCCCAGCTACTCAGGAGGCTGAGGCAGGAGAATGGTGTGATCCAGGGAGGCGGAGCTTGTAGTGAATGAGCTGAGATCGCGCCACTGCACTCCAGCCTGGGTGACAGAGCGAGACTCCGTCCCCCCCCCGCCCCAAAAAAAAAGGAAACAGAAAAAGCAAATTGATGCCTGAAGTATTTTAATACACAATTTGCAGTTCATTTGTTGCACTCACATTTTATACATTTTCTTGGATAAAGCTTTTAAGAACACTCCAGATTTTGAGAGTTTAATATTCACCTGTTAATACATACAAACTACTGAATATTCGGGTTTTCACCCAGGTATATACCTTTTTGTCAATGTCAATATTCAGTATGAGGCATATATTTTCAATGACTCACAAGTTAACTAAGTGCATTTTCCCTAAATATGTCTAACGTAAGAAAAAACACCCCCAAACTAGGTAATTGTTTTACAGAATTCAATTAACATTTATGTTTACATGACTTTACCACTGTGTTATAGACACAGGATCTATTACAGTAATCCTAATGCTGAAAAAAATGCGGAGGACTTAAGAAGCAAATGGTAGTACTCTAGTAGACAGTAATACAAATTCTGAGCTTAACCTTAAAAGTTTGCTCGGACAAAAGACACACTACAATCTTAAGTATTATGATTAAATATTTACATTAGAACTTATTCTCAAACCTGGAAATTGTCCCTGCTGGCTAAATTCTTAAAGCTCAGTATTGTTAAAACTCTTTGTTCAGTTTTTTCATAATGTAAATAACTGTATATCTCTGAGAGGAAAAGTATGTTTTAATTGGTTTATTTTCATTATTTAGCTTTTGATTTTTAAAAGGCGGGATAATACAATTTAAAAAATACAAAACCAAACTGTTTATTATAGTATAGTTTATTTAATACAATGTTTAACTATAAAAGTTAATACAGCTTCCAAGTTTAAATTTTGTAAAATGCAGTTTGCAGAAAACAGTTCAACAATTACTAGACTAATGATAAGAGAAGCAGCATTTTGAAACTAATTTTACAATTGAGAAGACAACAGCTTTATTTCTAAATTTCATTAAAAAAATATAATCACAGTGACTTTTGGGCTAGGAAAAGAAGTGCATTAACTTCATTTATGTTTTTTCCTTCCACAAAGAGAGCGGCCACAATTTTGTACATCCCACATACAAACACCCAATTCATTTATCTTTCAAAATACTATATACACACAAAAGGGGAAGAAAATATACAGCATGTGCTTTTGGTAACATACGGAATTTGCTTAAAGAAAACAAGTCAAACACAAATCCACCCCACCACTCCTTCCCATAACTTTTAAAACAAACCAAACCCCTCAACAACTCCCTACTTCAACCTTATTGATGGAATTTTCTTATTCATGTCATTTTTCTTTTCCTTTAATATATACCTCTTCGTCACATAACAGGCCAAAGACTTTGCACTTGCCTGAATCCACTGAAGGCAGTTAGT